TATTTAAGATGAACTAGCTCAGAGATGTTAAGTGAGCTGTCCAAAGTCACACAGCAGACAGGCAGATTGGTATAGTGCAAAGAGGTCTGCTGAGCCTGCGGAGATGCTATACCAGGTAGAACTTATCCCTCAACCAGAGCCACCTCTGCCCAAATCATCCTTTTGTCTAGCACTCATTTTTCTTAAACTGCAGATCATGAGCTTAGGTACATTCTGTGATTAAGGTGGGAATGTGTAAAGCTGTAAAGCAGGGAGAGAATCACAGGGTGGCTGCCCTTTGGAGCAGGAGGAAAGTTCAGCTTCCTGCCTTCAACAGCGGCGCATTCATCGGAGTTGAACATTGACTTTGGTCTGGGTGAAGGCCATCAAAAACACGAGTGATGTCGGCTTATTTGTGGTTATTCAAAACTATTATCACCAGAGTACTGATTTTAGTCTCTCTAGAAGGAAAAGGAAATAACTTTGTGATAGAAAAAAAGAAAAGAAGGCAAGACAGAAACAGCATTTAATGAGTGTCAGTTATGTGCCAGGATCTCCGGATCCTGAAATCTCGGTGGAAATCACGGTCCCACCTTTAGAAAGGAAAACTGAAGTGCAGAAGGTTAAATAACTGGATCAAAACTACACGGCTAGTGGGAGGCAGGGCCAGCGTGGAGCCCAGGGCTGCCTGGTTCTCTTCACTATACCCAGTCGCCCCCCTGACTTACAGACCTGTGATAAAACTCTTCCTAATGGGCTTCCACCCTGTACATATCCACTTTTGTTTATTTTTCTGATTAGATTTAACTTATTCTAAATTTCATGTAATCCCCAACTAGAAGTCTCTGGAAACTTTTTCATTCAGTCCATACATTGACTTTAGCTCCTTCTAGGTATGTCCTTCTAGGTGGCAAGCACTGTAACAGGTGCCGGAGATGCCACAGTGAGCAGGCAGACACCGTCCCACCCTCACAGAGATTATACACACTAGGACAGACTTATAAAGAACTAACTGGTTAGTATTTTATGATCTGCAGGCTCTAGGGTCTCTGTTGTATCTATTCAAGTCTGTCATTATGGCATAGAAGTAGCTATATAGAGGCTCGGTGCCCGTAGCACAGTGGTTATGGCACCAGCCACATACACTGAGACTGGTGGGTTCGAACCCACCCTGTTCAAGCAACAATGACAACTGCAACAATAACAACAATAACAAAATAGCTGGGCGTTGCAGCGGGGACCTGTAGTGGCAGCTATTTGGGAGGCTGAGGTAAGAAATTAGCTTAAGCTGAAGAATTTGAGGTTGCTGGGAGCTGTGACACCATGGCAATCTACAGAGGGCAATGTAGTGAGACTCCGTCTCCAAAAAAAAAAAAAAAAGTAGCTACATATAATACATAAATGAATGGGCATGGCTATATTCCAATAAAACTTTATTTACAAAAATAGGCAGTTTATTTTGTAAACTTAATTTACAAAAATAGGCAGTGGTCCACAAGAGTTTTCTGACCCCTACTTTCTAGAGGAAGACTCAGAAAAGTAACCAAGTAATTAGTGACACATTGTGAGAATTACTTTAAGTGAAAAACTACAATGAGTTCTTGGAATATATTGCAGGGCCACCTAAACCAGATTAGGAGAGCTCAAGGGTGGCTTCCTGGAAGAACTGGCCTTGGTTCTCAAAGCAGCCTGAGGGATAAGGCGTCATCAACCAAGTATAATTTTCTAGTCCTGTTCCACTTATTACACTTATGTGTTCCTATGATCACATTTCCCAGGAATTACTTTCTATTCCTCAAATACCTCCTGAAGTTATTTGCTTGTCTATTCCTTTCCATCAAAGTAATTCAAGCCCTCTCCCCTTCTTCCCATAACAAATACATCAACTTTTTCCTTCAGTGTGTCAACTTCTAGATCTCGCTAGGTCCATTAACAGTCTTGTAAAAGTGTCAACAAAAGTAAAGTTAAACTGTAACAGATAAATGCTATGGTATAAATCAAAATACTTCACAAAACTATTGAAAATAAATAAATAAAGCCAGCAGCTTGACTCCCAGGAGTCTTCACAGAATGACTGAAACTCATAGAAGCCAGGACAGACCAGGCCCTGGGGAAACCCAACTTTATCTCAATCTTGAAAAATTCTCACAAGAATATAAACTCACAGCCAAATTCAAACATACCGACAATAGCCAGGTATCATGAGAAAGAGCTTAGCAAAGTCTGATCTGCAACTCCATCAGATATTAGAATTAGATACATGCGGTGCCTGTAGCTCAGTGGGTAGGGTGCCGGCCACATACACCCAGGCTGGCAGGTTCAAACCCAGCCCGGGCCAGCTAAAATCATGACAACTGCAACAACAACAAAAAAATAGCCCAGGGTTGTGGTGGGTATCAGTGGTCTCAGGTACTTGGGAGACTGAGGCAAGGGAATCGCTTAAGCCCAAGAGTTTGAGGTTGCTGTGAGCTGTGATGCCACGGCACACTACCCAGGGCGACAGCTTGAGACTCTGTCTCAAACAAACAAAAAGAATTAGATACAAAATATAAATAATATATTTAATAATTTTACAAAACAAAGGAAACAATTCAGCACATAAGAAAGAAATGAGACCATACCAAAGATCGAGTACATTTGAAAAGAAAAACCAATTGAACGTAAATAAATGAATTAATAAGTAGATTAAGAAACAAATGAAACACAACTCAAAAAGAATTAAAACATACACAACTACAAATTGTCCATTTACAGTTGAATTGTTTTGAAAAATGAGACAAATGAGAAAAAAACAATTATTTCAAAGAGATAGATGAAGTAGCAAATTAATGCTGCCAAAGAGAGAATCAGAGAACTGTTAGAAAGATCCGAATTAATAATCAAGGATTAATGCAGATGCGAAAAAGAGCTCGAGTCCACGAAAGACATAAGATGGACTGGAGAGAGAGGATAGAGAGAATGTGGAGGAGGTATTCCTTGAAGAGCTCGAGACTGAGGTTTTCCAGAGTTATTAGGCGATTGAATGCGCAAATCTTCGACGCCCATTCAAAGAATTCTTATTTGTTCAATACATAGTACTTGGCCAAGTTATAATAAAGCCATCTTCCACTTTTTCTAGAGCAATGACATTTTCATAATACGGGGTTTCCATAAAGTTTGTGTGCAATTTACTACAGTAAACCATTTGAAATGGCACACCAACTTTATGTCCACCCTGTGTTATACTACTCAAGCTTCCAAAGCCAGTAATATTGTAAAAAACATTCTGTTTGCATTTTCCAGTTTGCATTTTCTTCCTCCACCAAATTCACTGGTTTCTTTTCAAATTACTTGCCGCATGTAGTAAAAACCAGGACACACTTTCATCCAGGCTTCTAGGTACTGTTGAAAGCACTGGAGACCCTCAATGTCTGCTCCAGTGTTAGACACAGTAGTGATTATGGAAGAAAGATTGTTGACTGATAATCAGCATGATCAGGTTGGCAATGACGGGAATTAAGATAATTTATTGACAATGACATCTCAAAGAAGCCAACCTAAGTTTGTCTTTCTAGACCTTGAAATAAGAGTGGATTTAGCGAACACCATCCCAATACAGATATCCCCAACCACCTTACAGGAAAAACTAAGGTCGTAGTAAGAATAATCTCAGTTAATATTTACTATGACTGGGCCCTGTGCTAACCACAGACTAAGAAGAGGAAAATGGAAATGATTTTATGTCTTATTCAAAAAAAGTCTTTGGTCACTGAAAACAAGTTGTTTGTACTCTAAAAGCATCAACTAATCCTGCTCCCGGGGTACGCAGCTGTTCCCACTGTAATACCAAAAAGTTTCACAGGATAAATAAATAGAATTTATTTTATTTTACCTTACCAGAGAAGAGTAAGCTTCATGGGATAGAATTTTTTACAAATTGACAAAAAGGTTAGGGTTGTTGAAATTCTTTTTTCTGAACAAAATAAAAACCTACATAAAACAAAATGATGGCCCGTGCAGGAACAGTAAGGAAAATGTTTCTTGGTTTAGCCAATTTTGTCTGCTCCCTGCAGACGGCTGCGAACCTACCAGATACAGGATAGTCTTCGCCTCATGACACTGGAGTTTCAAACTTTGGGGCACACAAGCATCAGTAATAAGCTTATTAAAAATAACAGTTCCTGTGCTCTGCTGGGAAGATTCTGGTTCAGCAGGTTTGTGATGATGCCCGGGATTCTGCTGTCTTACAGGTACCACAGCAACGTAGGAGAAGGGTCCAGCGTACCCCTCACAAAACTGTTTTAGGAGAAACAGCCACAGACCTTCCCTTTGCTACCAAACCTAAAAAGCCTAACCAACTCCAGCGCAAACACAGAAGTGATATGATTTACAAAGTCTGGGTGCGCTAACTCTGTGGCCCCCAACCCCAGGACCAAGGACCACGACTGCCAGGAAACCCGGCAGCACAGGCGAGTGCAGGCAAGCCAACAAGCTTCATCTGATTTTACAGCCGCTCCCCATCACTGGCATCACCAGCCTCAGCTCCGCCTCCTGCCGTGTCAGCTGTAGCATTAGACTCTCACAGTATCGAACCCTGTTGTCAGCACACACTTGGGGGATCTAGGCTGCACGCTCCTTATGAGAATTTAATGCCTGATGACCCGAGGGGGAGCTGAGGCAGTGGAGAGCGGCTGCAAATACAGATTCTCATTAGCAGAGAGATTGGCCCGCACAGAGACCATAATGAATCAATTGCTTACAGACTCATATCAAAACCACCCCCTCCCTGATCTGGGGAAAAATTGTCTTCCATGAAACCAGTCCCTGGTGCCAGAAAGGTTGGGGATCGCTGCTCTAAGTGACTCGGTTCTGGATCCATCACCAGAAGGACAGATTAGAGCCCTCATGATTTCCAGGCATGAGATTATACTACTATCTGTTATGGCAGCATCTTTAATAATTGATTCGAAAGCATTATGCACTAAAGAAATTCTCCTCGTATGTCTATCTACTTCCCTCCTCCAGAAAGAGAGCACGCTCACCTTTTTGTACTCGTTATAATGGGCCATTCTCTCTTGGCCTTCAACTTCAGATTCAGTTTCAAGAACAGAAAAGAATAGTTTGGGCAAAACAGATGTTGGAAACATTTTTTATTTAATCTGAAGAGTGGCTGATCAATATGTTTACCTGGTTGCACAGCAGCCAATTGGACACTGAGTCCTTTTTGAAGCATCACATTGAGTGGCTAAAACCAGGGAGGTGGAGATGTGTCAACAACTTTGGTTAAAAAAAAAAA